AAAAGGTACAAGCTTTCAGAATTCGACAGAACTTCTGTCCCTAAAAAACTACTATAAAGCTATTTTTACAACTAGACTTTTCTAAAATACCAAACAATCCCACGAAACATAAAAATTCCATCAACTTAAACGTTGGAGGTCAGGCAACTTAAAAAAAAAAAAAAAGTAGAAATAAAAAATCCTCTTTTTGACCCATAAGGGGGAAATTGTGGTGTCACAGGAGCTAAAGCGTTACAGCAAAAACTGGTCACATAAAGGAGGACCTTAAAAGTGTATAAAATAACAGAAGTGACAGAGTTTATAAATAAACTAAATGCTTCACTGTACAATATTTTTACAAACATAAATATTGTGCATTCACCTGAATAATAATTAACCAATACACAGCTGTGGACATTTTTACAGTAGTAGATATGGGAAAATAGCAGCAATACCAAAGATGTGCAAAATGACAGCAGCATGTTATTTATTTGACTAAGACAGAAATTGTTCAAAATAACTTATTGAGGTTCTTGGAAACAGTGATTGTTATAAAGTCTCACAACTGCTGGGAGGAAGGATCTGTGATAATGCTCCATGGTGCATTTTGGACTCATATAAGACAAAGATAAGTTGTCTAAATCAAAGATAATACAAATTATACGTGTTTTAAATTACTTTATACTTTCTTCATAAAAAAACTATTTAACCTTCAGCCTATCCAAGTACAGAATTCACTGTAAGTAATTATTCGGGCTAAATTATCTTGTTAGGATCCAACTAAAGTACTGCTTAACCAGCGGATTCAAGATACCACTTGCATAGAATCTGTTATACAACATCTTGATTATAAATAAATTAATCGACGGATAAAAAAGTTACAATAAGGTTTGCAGAGCTATTTCTGAGGATCAGAATTCTCATTAACTATAGTGGGAGTAATATCCATAAATTACTTAAGATGGTCAGGAAAATAACCTGCAGGAACATCCAATCCACTGCAATCATCACCTGCTTTAGTTTTATTCAATCGATCATAAGCAAGGAACTGTGCAAAAATGACATCACTCACTAAATAAAAGACAAATTAAATCCCAAATTTTCCAAAAACCTCTTAGTTATCACAAACAAATTATTGCGCTAATTGAATGAAAAAAAAGATTTAAGTCGTGTCAAATCAAAGACAGCATTTTACACAAAAACACAATACTGAGAGGACGTGTTTGCATGCATACTCGCATTAATCTCAAGAAAAAGTGGATCTTGGGGGGGGAGGGGGTCATACCTATCCTAATTCATCTGCTCAATCATAATATCATAATTCTTTATTCTTACATTTTCCTAATGGGAATGAGCGCCAAATGCCAAATTGTTCCTTGTCTTCTGTGTGAGTCTTTCTATGTTGAATTGGGTTATATGTCAGGAAAAACAGGTTGAAAGGTTGGACTTGATGATTTGACTCGTTTCCGTTTGTTGAACGAGAAGGGTATGCCATAAACTCTCTACAGTGATGTAAAAGAAAAAATATGTTCGTCAGCTATTGCAAAAACTTTGCTGCAGATGTTGATGCCAAATTTCAAGTTCTGGAAGAACTTAAAGCTTTCAATACCTTAACAATGCCTAAAGGAAAAAAAAAAACTTTTGCTTTGGAATTCAAGCTGTTGCTTCACATACTAAACCATCTGGATTTCTAAAATCTACATCTGAAGGCTGGCTTCAGAAAGAAATTTGAATAAATAGATGTTTTTACGTCATGCTGAGACTATCAAGCTGACAGTTCTTAGAATGTTTGCTGTCTTAATGATCTTTCAATTGGATTCAGAACCAGTTTTAGATAGAGCACAGTTGCAGCTTTTTTACTTCTGATTGAATCTCAAACCACTCTTTTGTGTCTGTTTTTCATCTCAGTTTAATAAAATTCAAAAGGAATGTTTAAATGAGTCCAGCATATTTGATGAGAAGCAGTACAATCTCTTCCAATCTCTTCTTCTTTCTTCTTGCCAATGAGTTTCACAGCATTTCAGTGAAAAGTCGGTCTTGAATCAGAAAGGCCCAGTTGTATTGACACATGAAAAAGCCCATTAAAAAAGGCTCCACCTAAAAAAGACAGAGAGAAGCTTTTCAAAAACATGATCATGACCTCTTTAAAAACATCATCCATGACACAGTGAGTTTAAAGTGATAATCAAAACCAGGATTTGGTCCCAGTGTAACATGGTAAGCTGATTCTGTTTCCATGTGGTCTTGTTTGAATCCAGATGTGTAAATCTGGTAGTGAAATAAATGTGAACACACTGAAACGCTTATTTAAAAAAAATTAAATAAAAAATCTTAGCTATTATTCAATTTAGCGAAAAATTGAAAAAAACACAGATTTCCCAGTGACCTCAACTTAAACTTAACAGGCAGGGATGAGAAAGGAGAGGAGCAGGATTTCAAAGGAGGTCTCCTGTCCACACATGCACTTTTATTACACCTGGGTTAGTTTATGTAGCCTCACATCCACGCTCTCCTGAAACATTAGCACTTTTCACTCACTCTCAGTTGGAGGTTCAAACACATTCGCTCTGTAATCCTATCCCATGCTGCAACTTGTGTTGACAATTACATCAGCTGAAAAGAAGCTGGACAATTTTAAATTTTGGACCAAGTCAATCATCACTGAAAACCTTGTAAAGTAAAGTATAATGAATTAACAATTTCACAGGTTTTTTTAAGGAGAATAAAGTTGTTTTTTTTATTATATAAAAGTTATACAGTTTTAAAGAACCTAGACCCTAGATCTTCACTGGATATCAGCTGTTTTTATACATTTGCAATTAAAAGTCCTTGCAGAAATTAAGATTTGTGAAACCAATGATGATATCGCTTGTTTCTGTTTGACATTTACTCTTACTTATGACAAAAAAAAATCCAAATTAGTAACTGGCTAATATTCATTTTATATTCAGCAAAAAACAGAGGCCCGTAACTTTTTTCTTTACCTTCCATTATGTCAACAGAAAGATGCATCATGGGTTACAATACAATTTTTTCCCACATTATTATTAATATTATTAATATTATTATTATTAATAATAATAATAATAATATTATCGTTACAGCCCCAATTTGTAATTATTTCATTATAACAGCCCAAATCTCTATTAAAATCATAGGGAAGTAATATTTTAATGTCAAATTATTCCAGCTTAAACACGTATATAAATGTACTCTTTATTAGACTATATTGTCCCAAAAGTCAGAAAATTTCTATTTTTATAAAAATGCTGTCTTAAAATCTGTGGGGGGGCATTTCACCATCCTATGCAGGCCAGTTAGTCATACGTCAGCTTGTACACCTAAATTCAGCCAATCATATATCAACGGTCATCTGTCAATCAAATTTTTTTGGTCATAGCATGTTGATTCATATGTCGTAGCTGATATACCCAATGGTTAAAATAAGAAATAAGAATCATTTCCTTCCCCATTGAGTTCCGTCCCAGTGTTCACGGGGATGGATGTCTGTGTCTTCAGCAGGCGTAGAGCTAACAGAACTTGCAGCGTTGCGAGGCAAGGGCTCAAACATGTACGGCTGGAAGCCTTCTACACCAAACCAAGCTTCTGCCGCCATGGCGTCCTCTTCCACAGCATCTTCGTCCGTGCTTTGTCAGAGGTCATGAATGAGTCATGGACACTCATCCATGACCTCCGACCCAAAACTCTCCTCCTCTTGCATGTTTCCGCTGTCCATAGCGTTCCTTGACAGAGTTTTTTCTAAGTCACCAATTTAGTGCTACTTGGTCCCAATGGAATTTGCCATTGGGAACCTACTAGCACTGAGTTGCTAACTGGTTAGCAAGAGGCTTCTGACAAACCGGCCACAACCAAACTATCTTGTGAATCTACCGCCACAACAATCCTGCCCCCTTGATAAACGACCTATCACATTCATTTTATTCACTCTTGTAAAGTCTGGAACTGCTCCGGAGAATTCAGAAATGCAACGGTTGGAACGGCCGCTTCCCTACAACTTTAAAGATTTAGGCTGTTATAGGTCCTCCTCACCATGAAGAGAAATTCTGACTACAGCTGCTTCTGTCTACTTGAACCCCAGTCAGCCTCGACAGAAGGCCGCTCACACTGAGGCAGATCCTGCTGGAGGTTTCTTCCTGTTCAAAGGACAATTTTCCTCTCCACTGTCTCTAAAAGCATGCTTGGCATGAGAGATTGATACTATCAGCTGGTTTTCTTTAGATAAAATTTTGAATCAATTTGACTGGATGATCTGGTGAACTGTAAAGTGCCTTGAGATGACATGTGTTGTGAATTGGCGTTATATAAATAAACCAAATTTAAGGGGTAATTATATTATTCATCTATTTCAGTAGTTTAGTTATTAAATTGAGCAATATCAAAGATTTGGTGGCATTTATTCTGCAAAACTGTTTATACCAGTATGGGTTATAATTTTATGCTGCTATGACAAGGTGGTGGGGATGCAAAAATACCTCTTGCCAACTGAAATGACCACCCCCCCCCCCCCAAACAAAAAAAACAGCATGCAATACTAGAGGGAGTCATTAAAAACTTACTGTAGAGGGCAGTAAAAATAAAACTGTTATGATCCATTATCAGTGGTTGGAAACCTAGGCAATTTTATCAAAAGGTTAACCTTGGCTGAGATGGCTGTCATAAATTAATGGTCATATAAAAGCCTGCTTCAAGTTCATGCTCTCCTCTACTTAGAATTTCTACAACTGTGCTCAAGGACTAACTGTAAAAGTTTTTCATCACAAACAACAATCATTTCAATATTTTCATCAATTTTTTTTAAAAGATGAATAATTAGAGTATTTAATGTTGTGCTAATTTGTTTGAGAGAGTTTATCTAAATGTATCCCACCACCTACACATGCATTCAGGAGACTTTTCATCTGTAAATCATGACAGGGGGCAGGCACTAGGACCTGCAGCTTTGTGCAGCCACAGAGATCCTTTAGCCCCTAAGAAGCTTTTCACTTTCTTTCAGAACAATTTTCAAACAAGTGCAAGACTCAGATAGGAGTGTTTGAAATAAAATGGTTGCTTAACAGTCGGGGGTTCTCTGGAACTGGAGATATAAACTGGAATATATTTCAGGAAGCTTCAGGAATCCTGCATCTGTAAGAGACAACAGACCTACTTTAAAGGTAGAGTTTCTTTTTCCACTTTAAATAGAATGCATGAATTCACTGTGACATACTGCTCTATGAAATAAATCACTAAAAAGCACATTAATAAGTATGTGAGGAAGTTTTGTGAAAACACTGAAGAGGAGTAATGCTGTCATACACATAGTTTTAGATGATCAGTTTTATTACATGTTGTAAATTAATGAAATGTATCTGCCATCTCCTCCCATCTCTTTTTGGCATAGCCACATCATGTTACAATAGCAGCCTTCAGACCTGCACCCATCTCTAACAGTTAGGTAATAATTCTCATGCATTCCTGCAGATAGATGTATCTAAATGTCATGTCAGGTTTTAAACAAGAAGCTAGCTGTAGGGCAGTTGCCTCAAATTATGTATACCCACAAACTTAGAGCAAATTATTGCATACTTCACATAAAAGTCAGCTATTAGAGTCAAGATGACTTCAGTGGGTGTGCTTGGAAATTTTATCAGATCTTTAACCATACATATGGAAGCCTTTATTGTTGCAGAGAAAATCACTGAAGTTCCTCATGGTTACTCGGGTTATTTTGCCAAAAGTACTTTGCTTACAGAACGTTTGTCTTCACATGAGCAACATTAAAAGTTTACTCAGCTTTGTGCTGCACAACATGATTTTCCACTGGCATGAAAAAGAGAATGGTGAACTGAAAGAAAGGCTTCTCTGCACACCAATAACAGAAGCAGTGAGTGGTCGGTTTACAGCGACAAAGACAGACAGATCAGAGGGGGGTTGAGTGCTGGTAGCAAGTTGGTTTGGGTGACAGAAATTATTAGGGATATGAAATTTTAAAGGTACGTTTAGAATTTTGTTGTCAGTTTCTTGTCTTAAATAATTGTGGTTGATATTTTCTCAAAAATAAAAAACACAGCAGACTTTGATGCTCTGCAGTAAGAAGCAAATTGTTTCCTCTCTTGGAACATCTGTGAAATATCAGTGATTTTTTTTTTTTTTTATCATGCCAAAGCACAAAGTTGCGGTTTAACTTTTACTTGCCAACCTACAAAACATGATACAATGTGGCTCCTTGAATCCAATTTTCTTAAAGGATTTTGTGTTGTCTGCTTTGAAAAACATAACTGTCTAGACATCAAAGCCCAGTTGAGAAAACCACAAGATGCTCTTGCAAAACTAAACTGGCAACTATCGATCAGATGCTTAGAGAGTAACTTAATATCCTTACCGCTATCTCAAGTATGCCAAGTATGCAATAAGTTTTGTTCTTAGTATGCATTTCACTACGTGTTTGATTTATGGAGCGTGGCTCACCAAAAGCCATATGTGTTTGCACATATAAATACCATTTATCTCACTGTGAAGGTTAAATAGTGCAGCTACAGCAACTAAACAGGCCTGAACCTCCTAAATGAATAGCCTATAAGGTGATGGGACCTTGTTGCTGGTTATTATCCTGTTTGAATATACATTACTGAGATGTGACAGACACTTGAGTATTGAAACACATTAAAAGGGAGTAAAAATTAAATGAAATGGAACAATTATGAACATGTTTAATAGAAAAATCTAAATAAATTGATCATGTATTACTGATTTGCCTCTCTGCTATTCAGCAGCATAGAAATGTACATCCGAATAGCAGCATGTTTTGTTATGGATGAGAAGTTGAGCGAGATTAAAATTTGATTAACAGGTTAATCAGTCTTAAAAGAGCCAGAAAGTAAACCAGAATCAGTTTTTGTAAAAGGCCGCTCACACTGCCACTAACTTTGCAGGAAATTTCTTTCAATTAGTGGGGAGATCCTCTTTCCAATGTTGCTGAAATGCATGCTTGGTAAGAGGGATTGCTGCAAAATCAATGGCTTATTTCAAACACATCAAACTGCTCATATTCCTTAAACAGTAAGAAGTCTATCTGGTTTAGGAAAGGAACTCGGGACTGCTGAACTTAATCCGGAATGCCTTCAGCATTATGGACATCACTACGGGATGGACATGTACCTGGATAATGCTGGCCAAACTGGGACTACAGACTTCCAGAAACAAGTTACACAAATGTAGTGAACGGATTAAGTTCTACATATAAAACCCCAAACCTATTAAGACCCATATATTTACATGTTTCACACATAGTACATTTCACAAAATTATGCATTTTTTGTTAACTCAGTGAGGTGGGTTGTGCCAACACATCCAGTCATGCAAAGGATTGTGGGTAAATGTATAGCTCCTATGGGGTGAACAGAAAGCTCAGGAGTTCCCTATATACTAAATGAACTACTGATAGGAAGCATTCTACTTCTTCCTCCCATCTCCTTCCATACTGCCTGTACTATTAGGACAGCCCTTATCTTGGTAATCACTGACACACTTCTGCTCTGGTTAAAGTGTCCTTAACGATTTGAAGTACCTTTAAGAAGCAAATCGTTGAGCCATCCAGAAGGACTGAATTCTGCAAGTCTGTCACTCAATGCAATCTGCTGAGTTTCCTTAGATAAAAATAAAACTCCAACCAATCTGCCTATATAATTTGAATGAATTAAAGTGCTTTGAGATGATTTGGTGAAAATTGATGCTGTAAAAATAGATTGAATTTAATTTAATGGAAATGAACTGAACCGAATAACATTAAATGAAATTTAACTAAATTGAATTAATTGTTTTGTTATAATTTTTCATATCAGGATTTTTGTTTTGCAGCCATATTACGCCAGACATGCCCAGCTGTCCTGCTGGTTTTTTGAGGTTTCCCATCTTTAGCACAGCTGATTCTGATGATTGCAGTTCAACTAAAGCCTGTTAATCAGCTTTTAATGGAAATCAGCTGTGCTGGAGCAGGCAAACCCTGCAGGACAGCGATCCTTTAGGACCAACATGCCTGAATTACGGTATGCTCAATATTTAAAATTAAATGTTTACTTCAATGCTAGTGAATACTCAGTAGTATATCAAGAGTTTATTTACACCAAGAACATTTTGATAATAGCACTTAGATGTTTGCAATCAACATTTTTGCCATGGTGAGCTGCTACGGCCTGCACTTCCCTACATTCCAAGGGTTCTTATAGCGGATGTTTTTAGGAATGGAAAGTTTATAATTGTTCCTCAAGGCCTTGTGACTGTAGTTGAAGTTCCACACCCTGCATTCAGAGTAGAGTGAGCTGGAGAAAGAATTTGTCAAATGTATGTTTTGCTTTACAATTTCGAGCAAAGAGTCTAATCAGTGTGGCTTTCATGTTATTATTAGTTATAGTTCTTTTTAAAATACAAGATGTAATCTGAAAACTAAATTCCTGACCAAAAATATCCATTTTCTTAACATGTTTATAATGTTGGGGCCTTTGTTCAAAGACAATAATTGCCACCTTCCTTAATTATAATGTATATGAAAATACTGAAATGTTTGCTGGTGGAGCTTGAAAAAGGATAAAGTTTTTTTTCCATAAATTATTTAAACACTTTAATTTAAAATATGTTTTAACTTCAGTGTAAATTTCATATTAAAAGGAACATTTAGTGGATAATCCTTTTCTACTGATGTCAGAAAGAGCCTGACAGTAATTACCCAGCATTACAGAGGACTGTGTTCCTCTTACCTTCACGGTCATCAAACTTGACTATCCCTCTTTTGAAAATAATCATAGCAGCATCTAACTTTCCACAAAAACATGTCTGATCATCGCTTTAAGCCTCAGGCCCAGTTTAAAAAACTGGGTGCTCAATTAAAAACACAAAAAGAACTAAAGGCTACTGTAAAAGCCCCTTATAGACCTACAGACAGTTATCTCCCTTAATAAGTCAGAGATACTCCCCTCTTGCATTGCATGCTCATGGATAGAGATCAGCACATACAGGAAAACTGCATCTCCAAGAGTTAAAACAGGCCTGTGCCTGAACAGCGTTGTCTCTTCGAAGTGAAGCACCCCTGCAGGCTCACATATTTCATCATCCTGGGATGAAAAGTACAAGAAGGCCACACACAGTTTCATTGTTTTTGTTTGTGCACACCAAGTCCTATCACCCTGAAAATCACAGAACAGCAATCCCCGTGTAACTTTGTCTCACTAAATTATGTTCAGTATTTACATCACTGTACTTTGCTACATATATAGTTTAAATGAATGATTTTTGTACATGCAATTATATTGTCATATATATATATATCCTTAAGCCTTCAGCCTAAAACTGACATCATTGGTAAATGCTGAAAAGTGCAGTAGTCTTTTAATTTATATCCCTGAAATGCAATTGTCATGTTTCAAGCTAGAAATCTTTCTAAGCTGCCAAGTAAAAATGTAGGGAGAAGGAAAATCTCGTCTGATTGAGATTGTAAAACCATCCCCAAGTTGATGCCTAACGAACAGACTAGTTTGAAAAAAAGGTCTTAAAATTGTTTGCCACGCATATAAACAAAAATACACACTGCCACTTTCATAGTGTTACTTTGTTTACGTTGCACAACAGCAGAAGTGCGTTTATTTAGAAAAAGAGCAAACCATAATGCAGGGATGGGCAAGGCAGAAGTGTTGAAATAAATGGCTTCTGCGAGTGTTTTGGCTTCATGAAAATAATTTGGACTGGCAATAAATGTAGGGGAAAAAAATGGTATCATCTGGAAAAAAGTCTACAAGAAAACCAGAGACATTTGTTTTTTGAAAAAAGGTGACTATATAATTAAGAAGCTGTATGCCACATGGTTTTACTCAACGAAAATAAGGTATCATAATAATGGACATATCTAAAGCACCAAAAATTATATACTTTTATATGATAATGTTTTGTTTTTCATCAAGGATATAATCAATAAGTTTATATCCTTCTCAAATTTGAAGAGCCTTAAACAACTGCAGAATTTAACAATCATTAATGAACACGGAGAAAAGCTGATAAAAAAAAAAGTGCTTTAATGTAGCCTCATGCAAATTTACTTCCTCACACCACTTTTCTGGTGATATAATAATACAGAAATATTTAGTCATGTTCTTTCCTTCCCAATAGAATATAACCGTCCTAGTTT